ACAACCACAACGACAACCACGACCACGACCACGACCACGACCACGACCACGACCACGACCACGACCGACGACCGACGACAACAACAACAACAACAACAACAACAACCACGACGACGACGACGACGACGACGACGACGACGACGACGACGACGACGACGACTACGACAACAACAATAACAACGACGACAACGACAAACAGAAACGCAATAAACACACACACACACAAACATGACAACAGCTCAAATTGGCAGCGATGGACATGGCAAGCAGAAAACAACTGATAAGGCTAACTGTACAATAGCAGTACTCGCACCGCCCATCGTAGCAGCGGACGGACAAATAATGGCTTCGATATTTGAAGCGAGGACTATAAACTCTAGCAGCGAGGACACAAGAAGAAGAGTTTAGGATTCAGGGTCTAGGGCCTAGGGTTCTGCCAACAACTGGAACGGAAACGACTGTCAAACATCAAAGCGCCTCCGCTTTTTCGGCTCGTGGACGGGAGTCGCAACTGCCCTGCAGGAATGTCGTTTTTCGGGGATTGCAGCTTTGAGGGTCTGCATGGCGCAGCCTGAGATGACAGCCACTAATTAGCAAAGGTATTTGTACCAAGACGCAGATCAAAAGTCATAGTGAATTATAGTGGCAAGGGTTGAGCACAGGTTGTGCGTCCAACCCGACAACCCAAGCCGAAAACTCCCCTTCTCCACAAGCCCGGCAGTGAGAGTGGACACCACTGATGCACCAGTAAACTAGTGTTGTAACTACGACACCACGAACCAGTAGTAGCGGTGGAAACAAGTATTATATAGGGGCCTTAGTAGTTAACATGGGGCGTATAGTATACCTATACAGGGACCTGCTGTAAACCCTAAACCCTAAACCCTAAACCCTGAACCCTAAACCTGTCTCAAATTCTCCTGGTTGAAGAAAGAAACTTCACCATTTTGCGCCTCAGAGCCTCCGTTGCATCTGGCAGAGTTCGCTGAGCCCCTCCGAGGGAGCTGGGAATTCTAAGAAAAACCCTTGGTTCAGAAATATTCGAGGGTTTAGGGCTTTAGGGCTTAAACCCTAAACCCTAAACAAGATGGATACCCTATAGCATGAAGTCCCTTATTTGGGTTTAGAGTTGGTCCGGGGAATCCGGGGCTCGGCTTCGTTTCTTCGGTTTGGGAGGCGATGCTTAGGGTTTAGGGCTTAGGGCTTTGTGTTTAGGGCTTAGGGATTTGGGTTTTTGTGTTTGGATTTGGGGTTGAGGGCTTTGGGTTTTGGGTTTGGGGGTTCAGGGTTCTGCATTGCTGCTCGACCACGGGGATGACGCCACGATGAACCCCGTGACCGAGAAGACTGCAAAAGGATTCTTCAGCATGAAATGGTGCTGGCATGCTGTAGCTGCAATCAATCACTTAACATGGGATATTACGACTATGACTATAACTATCGAACCAATGCGTGAGCAGTGTTTCCAAGCCCTGAGGCACGATGTTCTCACACGCGAAAGAAATCGCCATTGGTTTGATAGTAAGTGCGACCAATCTAGGGCTAGGGTCCATCTAGATGGGTGTGCGCGAGCACATTGCGGTGAGCTGTCGAGAACCGTGACGGTGCACCCTAAACCCTAAACCCCTA